GAAGCAAATAGAAAAATTGTATAAAGGCATGTGTAGATGCATAAAAACAAAAATGTACAGATGAGCACACACAGCGAAATGGAGCTGAAGACTAGGTCTGACGTATGATTGGCATGGATCCAGTTAACACCCCCCTTAACACCCCCCTAACTTTCCATAAAAAAGGGAGGGGGGTTGAAGACTGGAGAAAAGTTGTCTTAAATTAATGGTGCATAAATTAAGAAAAGGTTAAGTACGTCACAGCCCTTTGGAGAGGGAACCTATTGCAAGCAAGTTAACTGCCCTGCCACCTGTGCACCCAAGGCTGCTGAGGTTAAGAAATCCAGCTTTGCTAACATGGAAACCACACAGGCTTCATAATTTCATTAAACAATATTGTTAATCAAGATCTTCTCTCACCACCAATCTTCATAGCAGCCTTTAGAATTTCTTTAGTTGCAAACTCTCCAAAATGAGTTTGCACACTATCTCTTCAATATCGTTTAGAGAATAAACTACAATTAAACTGATTCACCTACCATACTATGCAAGGGCTGGCAAATATTCTACGGCCAAGAGCAAATGTTTACTTTTTTTTAAACTGCTCTGCAAGGGCCAATGGGAGGGGGCAGTGATATGACGATGCAGGCTGCCCATGCTTGTTCTAAGCGAGAAACCATATTTTATAGCTTATAGTAGTCATAATATGCCAAGGAAACTAAGACTGAAGAAACCACATTGCAGCTTAGCATATTTTATTATATATGGAAGGGAGACAAGAACTTCAGTTGGATTCCAAGACTGAAACTATTACAAAACTGTTGTCAGAAGTGGTGTTCATGGTTATAGTGGTATTTCAGAGGATATTCTTCCTGAGACAGAACAGCTGAAGAGCTACAAAAGACGACAAAAATGTTGATGAATCCAGCCAAATTTTCCAGGGGAACTGAAAAATCCACAGATACTTTATAGAGGAACAAAGAGGAAAAGAAAAGAAAAATACTAGGAGCAAAAATAAAAAATAATGAGGAAAAATGAAAAATAAGAACAATAAGGGAAGGGAGGTAAAAAAGAAGACTGATCAAGAAAAAAGAATTGTTTCTTTCTTCTTACACTACTCTATTATATGCTATCTCTTTTATTGATGTTTTCTATCTTCCTACCTATGAGCACCTACAAACGTCAGGAGTTAACATATCCTCCCACCACATTACTAAATCAGACAAAGTGGGAGTCTCAGAAAGGGTCACTAAGGACAGAGAACTCCTCAAATCAGACTTTACGCCTGGTGATGAGGTGGACGTGCCAGGCAGTTCTGTGGCAACAGAGTGGAAGTAGTTTGATACTGCCTTCAAATATTTTTTTCCCCCACCAACGTCCCAGTTTAACTTACAGACTTGGTATTCCCTAGTGGTCTTCCATCCAGGGAGTAAGAAATCCAATCTGCCTAGGTTCTGGGACCAGAGAAGGATCCCCAGGTGCTGCCAGCTGCTGAACTAACCAGTAAAGCCCATTTAAGAAAAGCCTAAATTGACTGAGTCTTTAAGACCTCCTACAATATCTTCAGTGATGAGAGTCCCCGGATAGCAACTTCTTCCAGAAGGAGAACAAGGCCTTCTCTCTTGAACTGACAAATGGAAAATCCTTCTGGTCAAGATGTAAAAAGGCTGAAGATTATATTTGGTCTCAAATCACTAATCAGGGTAGTGAATGCCTGCAATGACCATCTTACCCTCATTAACCTTTCTGTGGCCATGTTCTGCACTAACTGAAATTTCCAGATCGGCTTGGAAAGGAGGCTATTACATTACACCCCTTCCCACCCTAAGCTGAAACTCACAAATAACTGAGCCAAGATCCAGTCTACAGATACAGCTGCAGTTGCTTCACCATCCTATACAAGTCAAAAGCCCTTTTGGCCACCAGTTGAGCTTTCCACTTAAGGGAGAGTCCAAGTGAGCTCGCAGAGTCAGCACGTGTGTTTTCTGAGGAGGGCCTTTAAGACAGGCTCTAAGCCCACACCCCAAATATTCGGTATCCCTCCTCATAAGATTGTCTGAAGGAGATCTACCGGGCTTCTAGGCTCAGCATACATCACAAGAAGGCTTGTCTGTCTGGGTCATTTGCCAACCCCTGCCCCCAGCGCCCAGATGGACCGTGGGCCTGCCTCAATGCTCCTGGGAGAGAGAATGATGATCTTTTGTCTTTGGCTCCATGTCACCTTAGATGCCCTGAGGGCTCCCTCACTAGCAGCATCACCTGTAACATTTCCTTTCAACACACCTAGAAATGTGACTAGAAAAGATACGGACTTAACCCAGTTTTAATAAGACCTCCCTTAACTTTAGACCTTTGGACTACTTAGTTTGTCTGAACTTGGCTTATCACTTTACTTTGACAGTAATAGGAAAAATCAAAGGTGGAGTGACAGAGCAGATGCTTTCTTGCTATTAGATTCTGGGCTCGATAAAATTAGCATCTCAGGTTGGCAGGCAAAACCCCCATCTGAATTCCCAGGGAATCACGGGCTGTCCAACTAGACAAGAGTCAGAGAGACCAGATTCAATAGAAGGCAACTTCTTCAGTCCAGATGGACCTTTATATCCAGACCGTCCTCTAAAACGGGAACAGTATAATTATGTGTGATATGTTGGCTTTTACCTCTTGGTGTATTTTCTTTGAGATTTGCAGCAACATTTGTCACATTGGCTTTTTCAAGGGCACTAATGCAGACTTCCAGAGCAAGATCTTCTCCATAATTATGAATCATGAGATCTACAACTTTTCGCTTATCAGCTTTCTCCAAACGGCCTCTAGGAATGTTGGGTTTTCCCTCATAGTCAATGTTTTCGCTTATCAGCTTTCTCCAAACGGCCTCTAGGAATGTTGGGTTTTCCCTCATAGTCAATGTTTTCGCTTATCAGCTTTCTCCAAACGGCCTCTAGGAATGTTGGGTTTTCCCTCATAGTCAATGTTTTCGCTTATCAGCTTTCTCCAAACGGCCTCTAGGAATGTTGGGTTTTCCCTCATAGTCAATGTCTTCTAGCATCCACTTAAATGCTTCAAATTCATCCTCAAGGAGCTGATCCAATGCTCTGTAAAGTTTTACTTTCAGATGGCTGTTCATGTCGATTACTATGGGTTATATCGGACCTAAAATTAAAAGGAAACAGTTACAAGATATTGCTCTTGGAAAATACAGGTTGAAGTTTATAGTCTCTTCTATCTTCACATTGAAGGTGATAGCACATTCACAAATGTATGCTACCTACAGCATAATAGTTTTAGAACAAAATATGTTCAAAGAAATAAGTCATTAACAATGACAGTTTTTGCAAAGGCAAGATACACTGGTAGGAAGTGCTGTCAAAGTGGGAAGGACCAATGCAAAAAGTATTGTTTATTTTTTTTAATAATATTTTTATTAAAAGTCTGCCCGTCCCATCAGATCTGGCAGAGGAGGGATGCTGCAGATCCCGTGTGTTAGAGAATTACGTTTGGCGAATCCCACAAGGCGGGCCTTCTCTCCTATGGCGCCCGCCTTTTGAATCTTCTCCCCCCCAGAAGTGAGATTAGCTCCACCTCACTTAATATTCCACAAGACCTGGCTATGTGATCAGGAAACTGTCAGGGTGGTCTCAAATGGTGACAACGTGACCGGGGCTTGCTGCAACATTCTAATCATTCATCTTGCAATCACAGGGATCCTGCAACAGCCTGAACTTTGAGGACCAGTCATAAGTCCATTTTTTCAGCAGCGCCATAACTTCAAAAGGTCACTGAAAGAATGGATGTAAGCTGACCACTACCTGTATTCTTGGAAAATGCATGTTCTTTATTCTACACTTTAAGCTAGCATATTCAAAACACATGTATGCTACCTAAGATATAGAAGTCTTAGAATGTAACATTTTCAAAGGAATCAGTTCCTGACAAGAAGGTAATCAATCTTTTACTACCCAAGAACCAAAGTTGCTCTGGTTTTTCA